AGTCGACAACTTCGTTTCCCTATTCAACAGGTATTCAAGATTCAACTTTCTATTTATCGATCATCCTCGTAACGTATTACCTTACGGAAACGTTGGAAAACCTTTAACTTTCCAGAAAACTTTTCTTATAAACCGTGCTCTAAAGGAAATACGTATCATCGACGGAAAGATCCTCGACCGGTCAACGGAATCCATATCCATAAGAGTCGATATCAACGGGATAACGATTTACTACGATTCTCGAATAAATATAAATTCGGAAGAAGAGATACGATACGCTTTCCTTCATCGCGGCCAGAGAGGAAACGTTCGTTGGCCGTGAAGCATTGTGCCAGGGGTTGCGAAAATTCGGGCGCGAGACGCGAAAGGGTCATCCCCAATTCGGTCGACATCTCTGCGGAAAAGAGGGGAGGGTGGAAGAGGAGAGGAGGGAAGGGGAGGGAGGAGGTGTGCGGAGATGGTTTGACTCGGTACGACTTATATCGGTCGGCAAAGTAAAGGCTTTGACCGAACCTTCGTATGTAAATATACATTGCGGCCTTGCTCAGCTACGATGCTTACGACGCCGTGTCCCCGGACTAGGGTTCCCTATCGATCTAGTGCCGCGTCGCTCCAATCCTAGAAGAAGAGGAAACAAGCTGGCGGGTCCGTCGAGGATTCAACGAGATGACAAGTGTGCACTAGTGTTATCTGAATTTCCTACGAGTGGATAACGAAATCGTTCTTCCTTCCTTCCTTCCTTCCTTCCTTCCTTCTTTCCTTCCTTGTATTTCTCTCCTCTCGATCGTAACACTTTTCGCGAAAATTTTTATTCCTTTTTTCTCCTCTTTCCTTCTCTTCCCTCTCTTTCTCCTTTTTTTCTTCTTTTTTTTTTTTCCTTTATTCATCGAAGTTCGAGGGTTTGCATACAGTTCAATTACGAGAGATTCCCGATTTTTCGGGCAAAGTGAAACAACGTTCTGGTCCACCGGTTGAAGCGGTGCTCGATTAAAATTAAACGAGGCCGTCCGGATCGATCGTCCGGTTTTTCGTGTACGTATAACTCGGGCCTACGTGTCGATGAATCGCGTCCTATTTACTATGGTCAGTTTGGAGGACGAGGGTTTAGCCGCTAAAAGGGGGTTAAAAAAATAGAGAGATGAGAAGGAGGAGGAGGACGACGACGGCGGCGACAACGAACAAACCATAACACACGTATTCGTGCGGAGGGGTTTGGTGTAACCATCTGGAAACGGCTGGAAACGCTTTGCCCCGCTTGCGTCATTACGCTCGCGCACCTTTTCTTTCGCGCTTCCGTCTAATTGCTTTGCTTACGTGCCAAGAGGGAAGGGGGACACTGTGTCACGTGGCTCGAGAACGACGAGCAGTTCTATTACTTCAAACCGGACCTCTGGAAAATTTCTTTTCCATTTCGTCCCCTTTCGTTTCGAACGAGTAATCGCGCGGACGTACCTTTAATCTCGTCCTCGTCCTCGTTCTCTTCTCTTTGGCCTTCGTTCTCAAAACCTGCGTCGAGTTTCACCACTTCCGTTCGAAACATTTTACGAAAAGACTCTCTTTCAACGGGCCCAAATCGACAGGCAGTGGATAGATAGATAGATAGATAGAATCGCGTTGCGGCGATCGATCGCACGCACGATTGATCGAGCGGATGGCGATGGACGTGTCATCGGGTCAAAGGATAACGAGAGACTGGTCGCCCACGATCCACGGCCGATGCTCGACGACACACCGTCGTCCTTTGCCGATAAAACACTGTCGAAACGCAGAAGAATCGCGCGTTATGCCACGGGTCTGTAACTATGACGGGAGTAACCGTGACGGGAGCGGCCTTCCGGGTGTAACCGGATGTTCGTTGAAGTCTATTACGCGTCGCTGTTTCAACATTGTGCGATGTCGCCGTTCCGAGAGTTTGTTGAAATTTTTAACTGGAACTCGAAGAATGAAAGAGAAAATACGAATTATTTCCGTAATTTTTTTTTTNTTTTTCTTTTTACTACCACGATTTTATACGTACGCTAGACGTATGTCTCTCAAGAAGAGAAGGAACCTCTTCTCTCTCTCTCTCTCTCTCTCTCGCTTCTTCCGTTCCAATCTAATCGGAGAGAGAATCACTAACTTTCGTTAGTTTTTTTGCATTTTTCTTCCTCCCCCTACCTGCCTTTTTGCATCGTGCATTTTCGTTCGCCTCGTGGAAGGTTATCCACGTCCTAGAACGCTAGCAATCTGTTTATTACACGAAGCCAGGGCAGCCAGCGTCTTAGGCGATTCAATCAGGAAGTGTAGAACGCCCCCTTGAAAATTCGTTAAATCCGTCGGATGGTTCTGTCTTTCTCCCTCTCTCTCGTTACAGAAACTTTTGGCTCACGGTAATTTCCTCATTCTACCCGAGGCGTAACGCGCATTAAGTTATCGAAGGCAAAACAGAGGCTTAATCTCACTCGTGCTAATCCACTCGAGCGTCCATTCCTCTTATTTTTTTTTCTTTTTTCTTCTTTTTTTTCGCAAATCGAATTTCTGGACGAAAACTCGGACGAGAATTGGTCCGAACGAACGAGAAAGATAGTGGGGCTCGATAGAGAGGCGGTGTGTACACCCGGTTAGCCAGTGTGCACTACTCCACTTGTTATATACACCGTCACAAACTTAGCCGACAATAGATCGAACTGACGCGAGCTGGTCGGCAGGAAGCGCTTCCTATTTCGTTCGTTGAATAGGTACGCGCTCACACGTTTCGAGCTCTCGTGTTATACGCGGAATGAACGTAGCGGAGCGGATCGGCCTAGAACCAGAGGGCTTCTCGAGGCACCTATGTTGCGGAGACAAAAAAGAACCGGTGATCCGATTCGATCAATCGGTGCGCCTTTCATAATATCGCGGCCACGTGGCCGACCGACGAGTAGCCAACCCAACGATGTGGGGAGAATTCGGGCGAAATTTCGGATGGCTCGATTCATCGGCTTCGACTCGGAAGAATGGTGTGGAAAAGGTTCGCTTTGCCAACGAAATTTGCATAACGTCTGGTGGCGTACGCGCGCGCCAACCGAATCTCGATCTTTCGAGAAGGAATAGTCGAGAGGAAGCGTAGTTTGTAGTTCGAAAAGTAGCGAATCGAAGTGGCGCCACCCACGAGAAAGGCGGAGTTTTTAAATGCAAACTTGATAGCATGAATAAAAGATTTTGGGGAGGCCTCGGTGCGCGCGAATGCCAATGCGATCCGACCAGCAACCTAACCTTATTACGGCCGGTAATTGGCGACGATGGAACGATTGCTGATTGTCGCGTACGATCATCAGAGGTATTCGTTATCTCGTCGTTTCTTGTTTCGATTTTCCCCCTTTTTTTTTTTCTTTTTCGATCGTTCGAAGAAGGAACGGTAGGACGATCGCGCGCGAGGCCATCCTTTCACGTCGCAGGAGGCGAAGGGAAACCGAAGATTTTTTTTAAATTGAAGTAATTAAAATCCGGGCATAAGAGGGGGAGTCGGAAAGTTGGCTATTGTCAGTGGGGAGCGTGCGCCTTGTTAAATTTCTCGGTCGAGCGCAAGTCTCTATTCCAAGTGGAGCGAAACGGATGGCCAATGGCCAATGATCACGCTGCGTCCTTCTTCCGCTTCCGCGGCTTCCTCTCCCTCGTTTTCCTTCGCCGATTCTTTCGCCTACCCTTTCTGCCTCCAACCTGCTGCTCTTCCCTTCCTTCGCCTCCCCTCGTCGATACTATCTCCTGGGAAATCCCTTGATAAGGAGGCATATAAAAAGAAAAAAAAAAAAGGAAAGGAAGAAAGCGAACGCAACTATGAAAGCAACGCGAGACACAGATACAGTTTTTCGAAGAATTCTGATCGACGAGGTTTCTGATCGGACGAGGTTTCTGATCGGACGAGAAATTCATGGAAACGAGAGAGGACGGCGAATTCAGTATTTGAGAAACTTCAGTTTCTCAGCCTCGATTTTAAGTAGCCTCAGAACGTTAAGCCGTCGAACGATTCTATGCCGTGTTCTGTCGTTGGCAGACGGGAGGACGCCCTTCTCGGATACATTTCCAATATTCCTCGACGCCTCGTTTGTATTATGCCTCTCGCGCAACTATTGACATCGACAACGGGGACGATTCGTTCTCCATGGTCAAAGGAATCGGTTTGGATTGACATCGGATCGTGTCATTCCCTATTTATTATCGTGAAACCGGGTGAAAAGCATCGCTCGTTTTCATTTCGCCTGTCTCGCGAAAGTAGGCGAACGAGTACACACCTACTCGCGGTTAATCATTCTCCTCCTCCTTCTCCGGGATGGGAGAACACCTTTCGAATCCTATCTCATTTATCCCCTCCGGATCGTACTTGTTTTTCGAAATTCAATGTTTGCCGCGACATATATTTTATATATATTAAACACGACGAGTTTATTTATTTGTATATACGCGAGACGATGAAAATAACGATCCCTCCGCTCGAATATAATAATCCTTCGGACATTTCGTTTTTCCAACGGCGATTCAAACGCGCCGCTCGATATTCGCGTGTAATATAACGATACCGGACACACGTCGAGGCAGAAATTTCTCGTTCTGCCCGTTCTGGCGAGGCCTCGGAGGTTAACCCTTCGTTTCGTACGAGAGGGGAGGGGGATGGGGGAGAGGCTTTTGACATCGTGTCATCGACTGGCCGGTATCGGTTACACGCCCATTTATAAGCGGAACGGAGGCGAGAAATTCTGATATCATCCAGGCCGGGCAGCGTTGATTTTTGACGCTCATTTCGTATTCGTGCGACATTTATTGCGGCACAATCAAATGCAATTAAAATATTCATGCATCGGCTCGATTCAAAGCGAAGTGAGACAAGTATATATATATATATTTACAGGGATATCGGAAGTGGGTACAATGTGTGCGTAATGAAAATTTCACGGATATCGTCGAAGTAATTCGTTTCGATGAATAAAAGTGAAAATCCCGTAGAAGCTTTCGCGCCGAGATACACCATAAGGCTATTCTTTTAGAAAAAAAAAAAAAACTAGAAGAAACAAAGATGAGAAGGGAAGGGATGAAGAGTATATACTCGGAATCACATCTTTATGGGAGTATCTTCATCAACCACCACTCTCAAAGTTTTGATTTGTTCGATATCCAGCTCGAGATGGGCGAACATCTCGTCGTCCTCGATCTGTCTCAATATTTTCGGATCCATTGCTACCATTTTCTTCAAAGCTTCCGGCACTGGTACCTGTAATTAAGAGGATTTAGGCGGATCCTTCAGGAGACGTATATAACGTTCGACGAAGGAACGGTTCTAATTATCCGTTTGTCTTAAGCAGTGGAAAGGTCAACACGAGGGGGGGATGAAGCGAAGTGAAACGTGGATCGTATCGATAATAATATGTCACATGTTTCGAGAAATTTCGTCTCGTTTATTACACGCAATATAATTACCTCTGGATGCTCTTGAAGCCACTCCACGAAACCTCTCACGCTTCTAAGCATCGTTATATCTTTCCAAACAGCTTCCATCGTTTCGATATCCACAGGCACGTCCTCGCATTCCAGCCATCTCTTGTGTACCTGATTATCGGGCGGTATGAATTGAATATCGGGAGGCAGAGCCGTGCCGAATGCTTTTGTCTTCGGCAGTGTCTTTTCCGCTTTCGCGTCCTTCATCACGTGTTTGTTCGTCATGATGAGCTTGCTCGCGCCGGGTACGTTCCTCGTGAAGGCCACCTCCGCGGGCACAACCGGCATTTCCTTGATCGACACCTATTTAAAGAAAAAAGAAGAAGGAGAAGGAGCAAAATGCAAGAAATAAAGCGTACAGGTGCGATTAAACGAGACAGCTAGCTGTGCAAACTTTCTCGCGAGATTCAACTTTGGAAGGGAGGGAACGGCCTTCCTTCTCCGAAACGTGTTGTTCGAAGTAATTAGAGATTCGAGATTCGATATTTGAGGAGAATTTTACGGAGAACTCGTACCAAAATCAATAACGCTTCTACGGAACGGGTAAATGTAAATGGATTAAAATTTAGAGCTCTTATTAACTATCCGACTTCTATTATTTGAATGTATTCGAATTCGAATCAGATTCGAATTTTCTTCCTTCTTTTATTGGATATTCTGTATAAAAAAAAATGATCAAAGAGTAAATTTAATTGTGTAATTAAAATTACACCTCGATTAACAGATTCAATGATTGGATGAATATGAATATCATAAGGAAAAAGTTTTTAGATTTATTTTTTTGCATACGCGTTTAGAACGAGTATCGTCATTAGTCACGATTATTTCGTTCTATATTTCTGTAATTGCTTTTTGTACATGTAAATTGATATTCTCTCCATCCTTCTGTTCGATTAACGTGTCAATCGAGACCTATAGTTGAATCTAAATCAACTATTCGAGTATTTGAATCTCGATTAAATAGAGATTCAAACACGATAAGATTCGAATCAGGCAACAGTAAGGGCCCTAATTAAAATCTGTCCAACAAACGAGGGAGCATCAACGATATTTCTCTTTAACCTGTAACGTTCTGCAAATATCCGCACTGAAATCGATTTCAAACATATCCCTGAGAACTTCCTCGTCGATGGCATTATCCGTCCCGCCCAAAGATTCGACCCACTGGCAGAAGTCCTGACATATCCTTTTCATCGAGTTGTCGGCTCTCATTTTGAGCGTCGCCTCCGGATCGTAGCCCTCGAGATCTTCTTTCTTCAAAGGGCGCCACGTAATCACCTGTCCCCGTAAAAAGATATTATCTTTCTTTTTCTTTTTCCTCCCTTTTCCTTTATCTCTCTTTCGCCTGATACTTTTATTTTTTTTTTTTTCCACATCTTTCCGATCGTTAGAAGATTACTCTATCGCTATCAATCCGATATCGCACCTTGCGTCTTGGTTTCATCATAAATAGAGCGTAAGGATTGTATCTACGATCCATGGGCAGTTTCTCCTCAACGGGCGGTTCGTCGACTATCAACGTCGGTGGATTCACCTTGATAATTATAAAAAGAAGGGGAGAAAAGGCTACCGTTAAAAAAAGATGGACCGAAGTAGAACGATTTGTTAAATTATAAGTATCGGGTAATCAAGAATGTTTCTTTAATTAAAATATAGAGAAATGCACAAATAATAATGTAAACAATCGTTTATGAATTGAACTCGTGGTAGGTTATAATTAATTGTGCATTTCTGTTGCGTTCGATTATGATGAATCCATAAAAATGATTTCCATAATAAGATTCTCTCTCTTTCATATTATGTATACGTGATTCTCTTTTTTCAACTCGACAATTCAAAATCAAAAAATAACGTTGAAGAAACAAATGAGAATTTCCCTCTCTATATTTTTTCTTCCTCTCTTTGTCATGAAAAGACAATCAAATATTTCTTGATTACCTAATAACAATAACAATTCACATCGAGTTATAACAATTCCTTTTAACAAAAGTACGAGAAACCCAACCTACCTCTAAACTATCGAAACTTTCTATTTCGACTATCTCCTCCTCTAATTCTTTTTCTTTGAATACGTCTCTTTTTATATGCCATTTGGGCAGTTTCAGCAGTTTCGCAACTTTATTATAAGTATCTATAGGTAGTATCCGTCTCATCATTTTGACCTTGTGTATGGGTGGCTGGTCGGTGGAGAAAAGCAAATCAGAAGGAAATTTATCGGGATACAAATAACGTTTAGAATCAACTAACAACCTGGTCAGATTCGTAATCATTCTATTACGCTCTCCCGTGATCGGGTCGTCGTTCTCGCTGTTTTTCGACAACCGTTCCGAAAATTCTTTGCACAAGATATTTAACATATCGGTCGACGATACGTTCTCCTCGAGATTCGTTAGAATTTCCACGATCTCGCGCGGACGTGTAAGCGGCAATTTCGTCTCGGCTCTCGGCAAATCGGTGGAGAGTGGTGTTTTTAAAAGGCCATCGTCACGAGTCTCGTCCAATTCTCGTAATGCGCCCTTTGACGCGTCGCAGCGATATATTTCCGACTTGTTGGACGTCGGTGTTGATACGGGAAAGCCCGAGAAGCTGGTTCCCTTTCTGAGAACGTGTTGCCGCGTGTTCTCCACAATCGTTTCACCTTTTTCACGCGTCAATTTTTCCAGCACGGATCTCGCTTTCGTTAAGGGAGGCGGCACAGCTTTCGCCTCCTCGCTCGAACTCTCCTTCTCGAGGACACTTTTAGGCCTTGATTTTTCCTTCGGAACCCCGTCGTCGAGGGAACCGCTTTTTCTCAACGAGGATGCCTCGAGCAGGTCGATGCGATCTCGCAGAGTCGTCGATTTACGGTTTCTCAGGGCTCGAAGGGGCTCTAAGCTCGGCCTGAAATTCGTGGGAGCGTGACAGGGCACCAAGTACTTCGGCTTAGGTTGATCGTCGCCGATCGAGACGTCCGCAATCGACTCGTCCTCCTCCTCCTCCTCCTCCGTGCTCTCCTCCCCGTGTAACGAGGAAGGACCTTCTTTCGTTTGTTCCAGAGAAGGGACTTGCGTTAGATTTACCTCGATTCGAGCCTCCTCCTCGTTCGAATTTGTTGTCGATGTTGCCTCGTCGTCGTGTCGCGGATCCCTTTCTTTACCTTTCTTTGTAATCTCGTTACGCCAAGTCTCCGGTTCCGCGATACTTTTTTGCTCCGCTGCTCGTTCCTCTGCTCGTCTCTCCTCTTGGAACGAGGAACCGGCATCCTCTGTAACTTCACTTTCGGCAACCTTCGATTCCACGTCGTCGAATCCGACGTTTCTCGTTTCAACTTCATCGTTCTTCGAAATTCTTTCAATCTCGTTTTTAAGACTTGGTATGGAAGCGGAATCGCTGGAATCCTCGAACGAATCTTTAAGCGACGTTACTTTGAATTTTTCATCATCCATGATTCTCTGCAAAACGGTCCTAGGCAGGGATATCCTTCGTTCGGGAGGAGTCTCGAACGATTTGTACATGCACGGCAAACACCTGTCCCGATTCTTCCTTGGAAAGGATAATTTTGGAATTGACGATAGAATACGAGTAAAGGGATTGTCCTCCAATCGGCCTGACAACACGAATTCGGGACTGGATGGTCCTGATGTGTAACGAGATTCGGTGGGAATGGTTCCCGACATTGCCTCGTCGGATTTCAATGTTCCGTTTTCATCGTCCGTACCTGAAAACTCTGAATCCTCGAGTGATTTTTGTTCGATAATTGTCGGCATCTCGCAAATACGAGATGATTCTTCGTTTAATCTATCTTTTTCGATGCGTTTACTTTTCAAAACTTGCTTGTCGTCGTTTTTACTTACCAAAAGGTTCTCACTCCATTTCAAAAATGATCCTTGTTTTGGAAAACGGTCGATAGATTTCAATTTGAAATCTACATTTTTGTCCTTTGATAAACGTTTCAATGCTTTGTAAGCGGAACGAGCGGTATACTTCAAAGAATCTTCGTTTGGTAATAAATTTTTCTTGATTCGTTTCGTCGTAGATCGATCATTAGAAAGTTTCTCTCCGATATCTTTTATCGTTTTATCATTCTCGTGTAGAGTGCGATCCTTGGTTTTTAGATCTTTTTCATTCGATAATTTTAAATATTTCCGTAACTTTTTCAACGTTGATTGGAATTCTGACATCCGAGGATATTTAGTGAGAATTGGTAGAGCGGTAGAATTATTTTCTTGTATCTTCCGTTCATTTTGAGCATTGGAAGAAGCCCGGATATGATCCACTTTGCCAGAATGAATTCTACCGGAACTAGGTTGAGGACCACGAGTATTTAATTTTGGGATTCGTACACCTTCAAATGGTGTGGTAGAATAGCACATTGTATCCAGACTTTTTGGAACAGTTTGATGCGATCTCTTTAATATCGATTTTATGGTATCGAAACGATTTCCGTTCGATTTAACGTTTGCTTTCATGAGATTTAACTTGTGCAAAGAATTGTCGGACGTATCGCGATCATCTAAGTAAAAATTAGAAAAAGAGTTGCGATTAAACGATTGATTCTCAACGAATGGATTACGATCAATAGAATCGCAATATTTTTCAGGAAAGGAATTGTAGGAAAATTGAAAAAAAGGATTTCTTACTGCGAGCAATATCTTTTCCCGTTCGTCAATTATTTTCTTCCAATAATCCCTCATATCTGGAAGAGGTTTTTCCCATCTGATAATCAACAATTAAAAATCTTAAAAATCTATCATCTATACGTGATAATATGAAAATATTTTATACGAAAATTTATGTACGTACCTTTTCCCTTTCATGATTTTGTTGTAGGTATACTTTCTCTTCATGCACGGAATACTCGTGTCAGAAAAAAAAGAAGTAGAAGAAGAATTTCGAACACATTTAGAAGTGCTCATTTTATTAGCCATTTAAAAAATATTACTTTTAAATCTAATCCTAAATGATATATCTACGGGATTTTTATCCGCGAACTTTTATCCTTCAATTTCAACTATCGATCAAACAAATTTTGACCAAATACAAGACATGCGCAAGACACGCCGTTAAGAAAAGTCTTAAAAGAAAAGAATTGCATTACACGTAGGTTATATTACCATGAGAAAGTACGTGAAAGTACTTACCAATAATTTCTATTTGATCGATGAATGTTTAATGTTATCAGTTGTAGTAATAGCAATTTTCTTATTGTAATGTAACTTATTACTTGTAGATAACATTACGAATAAAATTCGTTTGTGGCGTTTATTGATTCAACAGTTTTTCTTCTCTGTCATAATAGTGAAATATACTGACACTTGTGAATAAAATTAAATTTAAAATTAAAATAGATTTATTATTTAATGCATTTTTTATTCCGTATCTCAGGAATATTACGACTTATTATTTTAGTATTATATTCTCAAAGTTCTCACCATATTAATAACGAAATTATTATTCTAAAGATTTTATTATAAAATTGACATATACAATATTTATAATTCTTAGATTAAAAATTAAAATTAAAAATTAATTAGATTAAATTAATAATAATTGAAACTAGCAATTTTGAAAGAGAAATAATGAAATATGTTTATTGACATTCTATACCGTCTATCGTCATGTAACCAAGAGCAAGTATAACCGAGAAGGGTAAAGATAAGAAAAAAATAGGGATATGGTAAAAATATGAAATCAACGCCATCTTTATAGATACAAATGAAACTAATATAGACGAGAAAAGCAAATAGTAGAAAAATAAAGATAGAATTGATTCATAGCATCATCTCTCGAATATCAAAAATATCTCTTCAAGTAAAGGTAAGATAAAATAGAATATAAATTGGAAACTAACACCATCTCTTAAGAGATAAAAATATCTTCCAATAAGCTCAAAAGATGGCACTAATCATCAACTCTTATTCTACTTTATCTGTTTGAATATTTTTCAGTACTCAAGAGATGGCGTTACTAGTTAATTCTTATTCTATTTTTATCCTTCTTTTACTATTTATTATCCTTATTTATATTGGTTTCATTTGCGGCACTCTGAAGATGGCGTTAATTTCACAATTTTTAGCCTATTTCCGTTCTTTTCCCTCTGTTTGCTTTCTTTGTCGTATTAAACCGATTTATCTTAATCCTTAAATTGAAAGATAATGCCGATTTCTATCTTTATTGTATCTAACATATTGAATAAAAATTCTAACAGAATTATTATTTTTTATGTTATAAATATGTACTTAGATTACAGTATGCCAGATGGCGTAAGAAACGCTGATTGATGCGACACGAAATTCGCATAAAATGTCATGTCTACTGTTTCTCATTCTGTGTCTGTGATAAAAAGCATAACTTACCGTAGATAATACATTAATACAATAACAATTTCCTATCCATTAGTAATAACAATGAAGTATACTGATATTTACGAATAAAACGCACGAAATCGTTACATTCACGAATAAACGTATTTTAAACATGGATAAAATACATGTATACACTTTAAATGCAAAATTTTACATTATACCTGAAGTCGAAGATACAGTTTTGACGTATCTAAATAGGACAGCAATTGAAACAGAAGTGATGTGACTTTTCTCCAGATAATCATAATCTATTTTCTATTTTATTCAATTAACTTTTTGAATGCATGACAACAAAAAATATATAAAATGATTTGTTCTACATCTCATTTGAATTTAAAATTGTGAATTAAACTAATAATTAAATAATTCGAATTTATCATTTGTAGATAACATCGAAACATTACAAACAGTGATATAAAAGAATAATTAATCTTCCCATTTTATAAATAATGTTCAGGTATATCGGAAAGGATTAATTATTTGAATAAATAGATTTAGAAATAATCTTTTGTGTGATGACAAAAGTTCAGAATCAATTTTATTTTAATATTTACAATAATTAATACTTTTAAACGATTATAAAAATTTATTAATATAATGAAAAAAAACATGGCAGCGGTGGGATTCGAACCCACGCCCCCGAAGAGACTGGTGCCTTAAACCAGCGCCTTAGACCGCTCGGCCACGCTACCAGATATTAGATAGTTTTTTAGAATCTATTTTTTAATTCAATTATAACAGTTATATTTTATATATATATTTCTACAGTTAATAAAAATAAATAACGTATGTCAGATATAAATTTATTGAATTCAATATCTTTCTTCAAATAATCTTTCTTCAAAGCTCATATTTCTTTAAAAAAACTATTATACATATAATGTATAGTAACAATATGAAGAACAATATTTCTGCTTTTTTTTTTTGTAATTATATTTTAAATTCTTCGTAATAATTTCATCGATTATATTTTTCGTACTTATAACGATGTTTGAAACATTGTTACTTAACCTTCAATTACTATTAACAATAAAAGTGAGTCAAAGGCATATATTTTATATATTTACGTCATCAAATTTTTATCCATGTCATACTTTTTAGCATGTGTGGCGTATTACAATTCTACATTAGGATCCCGTCGAGAGATAAATTCGTACTTTTGCTAGCCACATGTCGTGGGCGTAGATAGCATAGATTAGACAAAGGCAGTCTCCGGGCGGAGCTTTCGATCCACGTAGTTGGCGCATGCGCGCAACGTTTTTTGTCCCCCACGCGCGTCGTATTCCGTGAACCAGCATGTGATACACAGAAGCGAGAGGAACTAACGCATCCCTATTTTTTTCGCACTTCGCGACGGCCATTTTGTACGCCGACTTAATATTCACCTCTCATTTTCTCCCTTCTCATCTGTAACTTTATATCAGCGCGATGAAGTTCAATTGTCACGCTGGTGGCCTTTTGTTCTCGTCGGCCTGAATCATAATCGAGTCAGTTAGCGCCCTTACGCAGCGAATACAAACGATTTCGGAGCGGATTAGTCATCGATCGGTAACAATAACCGATCTCCCTCCTCCTTTACGGCAAATAAATTATGGAAATCGAAAGTTAATCCAATTAGACTTTACATGCATCGTTCGAACATTGTTTTGACAATGTATAAACAGTAAGTACGTAAGTATCTTATAAGGTTTCTTTATCTAAGTTTGCTAAACAATTCTTTACCTCGGAGGTTTATTCTTTAATTTTTTTTTTCTTCTTCTTTTTTATTTATAAAGGAAGAAAATCAATTTCGATCTCCAATTCCAATATCTCTTATGTTGTATATTTTTTAGATATAATATTTATGCTTTTAAAAAAATATTAATCAAATATCTTTTCATGTCAATACTTAACAATTAACAATTTGTAATTTTTTACGTAAAGAAACACGAACACAATACACGAGTATTTTCAATTCTCGTGGAATTTATACGTACAACAGGCGTGACACGTTAGCGTCAAACGAATGTCATCGTGAACGATGTTTAATTAAACATTCGATGGTATTTATAGTAACGATAAGGGCGTTGATTAATCGAGACGAGAACCATAATGGAAAGTCGGAATGTAGCAGCGCTCGCGCGAACTCGACCGCGTATAGTCTGAATAAGGCGTAGGAGCATCCTCGTGGTGAATTAATCATTTCAACAGCTGCTGTCGCATTAGCGAGAGCGGATAAGACAAATGAACGTCGTGGAGCTTGTTAAGACGTAATCCGAGAGATGCGTCTGCATCGCCTCCCGCTTCCACCTTCGCCGCCTCTCCGTCATCCTTCGCCACCACCGTCACATCCGTCGTCTCATCCGGGATTAGACGCTCGTGTATCGAGTCGCCATTTTCCTCGATGATCCCTCTTTTGTTTACAGACCAGCCACAACCGTTTGTTTTTCATCTGTTTCTCTCTCTCTCTCTTTCTCTCTTTGATGGATCGTTCTATATAAAATCAAATTATTGCAATCATTGGAAATTTATCGAACATTTGGAATAACAAAAAAAAAAAAAAGAAAGAATAATCCGTCGTTCGTCCATAAAGATACAATCTTTGGGTTCTTTTTCGAGTTGAACATTGTTAAACACGATGTCCTTTCGTCAGTACCCACGGATTGAAAGATCCCCAATGGTAGATAGCGTCAATGCGGGCGCCGTTGAACGATGTTAACGCGAATCTTGTGAACATGACGTGATCGTTGTCTTGTTCCCTTTTTGTTATGAGAAGAAACTGGTTACGGTGAATCGTATTGCATTTCATTTTTGTAAAGGGTTATTATAATATCTGTCGATCGTTGGTTATATTTTTTTCAGCTGTATATATTAAATTATTACTTAAAGTTTACTATATCATCCTTTCGTAAAATATATCATAATTCATAAGACGTGTTAAAAACGTCTTCTTCTTCCAAGAATTTTAATCGTGGATGCATTAGCGAGAACCTTTTGAGAGTTTCCATATCTGTCACTGTATAGATTTCGACTTTTCAAATACAAGTACGTAGCCGAAGAAGTTCTTCGATTCTACTTCGCTTTTGTCGGGCCGAGTATTGCGCCTCTCCATTTTGTCATCCCCTAGCGGGGTTTCAATGTTGTAACCATGGAGACGTCGCGTTTCCGCAAGGGGAACGTATAAAGGGTGTCGGGCGTACGTAGGCAAGTATGGTGAGGCTACCATTGTTAAAATTCGTGGCTGTACTACGTGTCCAATTTGATGATAATGAAAATACGATACAGTTTTGAGCGCGGTGTGATCGATGTGTCTCGGCTTCGCGTAATATCGTTACATTTTTCTAATTTTATTTTTTATTATATTTTTTCCTCAACCCGTCTACGTTAATCTTACGATTATTATCGCTGTTTCTTTCCTTTTCTTACTTCTGGATATTTCTTACGTTTCACAACGCAAATATCCTTTATTTATTTATTTATTTATAAAATAAAAGATTCGTGGGTGAATTTGCAATTATTATCTTTTCGAGAGTAATTTGTAAGTTTGCTAGTGAAAAGTGTCGCGAAGGAGAATAGAATGATTGACGAGAAAATTCGCACTCGAGATCGTCAATCTTTCAGCGTTTATCGGCGCGTCCTCGCCGTTAAATGGCCAATGAGTTTCATAGGAGCCATTAAGGGGTCCTTGATTCGTAATGAGACTCTCAAGGAGAATCTTACGATTATCCCCCATTAGGACAATAGAGAGAATAATAGTAAGCCAGTCCAGCGGACGTTTCATTTGAAAAGCAATGCAATATTCCCTCGAATTTCGAATTGTCAAATTTTTTCCCTCCCCTCCTCGTATTAACAACTCCTTCGTTTAATCGTCCGTTTAATTTTTCTCAATTCTTTTAATATTTTTCACGAAATTTCGCAACGTTTGCTTAAAATGCGCGGCATGCGTATCCGCGCGAACGG